GAGACAGAGAGAGAAAGAGAGACAGAGAGATAAAGAGAGACAAAGAGAGAGAGAGACAGAGAGACAGAGAGACAGAGAGACAAAGAGAGACAGAGAGAGAGAGAGCAGAGAGAGAGACAGAGAGAGAGACAGAGAGACAGAGAGACAAGAGAGAGAGAGAGAGACAGAGAGAGAGAGAGACAGAGAACAGAGAGAGAGAGAGAGAGACAGAGAGAGAGAGAGACAGAGAGACAGAGAGAGAGAGAGAGAGAGAGAGACAGAGAGAAGAGAGAGAGAGAGAGAGAGAGAGACAGAGAGAGAGAGAGAAGAAGAGAGAGAGAGAGAGAGAGAGACACAGAGAGAGAGAGAGACAAAGAGAGAGAGAGAGAGAGAGACAGAGAGAGAGAGACACAGAGAGAGACAGAGAGAGAGAGACAGAGAGAGAGACACAGAGAGAGAGAGACAGAGAGACAGAGAAAGAGAGAGAGAGAGAGAGAGACAGAGACACAGAGAGAAGAGAGAGACAGAGAGACAAGAGAGAGAGAGAGAGACAGAGAGAGAGAGCAGAGAGAGAGAAGAGAGAGAGAGAGAGAGAGAGAGAGACAGAGAGAGAGAGAGAGACACACAGAGAGAGAGAGAGAGAGACAGAGAGAGACAAGAGAGAAGAGAGAAGGAGAGAAGAGTAAAGGAAGAGTGTAAACGAAAAGACGTGGGGAAAAGAGTGTGAACGAGAGACAGAGACAAAGAGAGAGAGAGGGGAGAGAAACGAGTGAATAGAAGGGGTGTATACAAGGACACAGAGTGATAGACTGAAAAGCGAGGGAGTGATAGAGAGAGAGAAACAGAGAGAGAGAAGTAGAGAGAGAGAGAGTGGAGTGGCTGTGTCCAGATGGAAGCGGCGGGATCCTGCTGAGACCGAACTCAAGTCATTTTCACACAAAATACACAAACACGACACACACACACAGGAAGGAGAAGAGGAGGAAGAGGAAGAGGAGGAAGAGAACCAAACAGCAAAAAAAAATAAAAAATAAAAAAACGTATAATGATCAAAATGAGGAGTTTCACAGCAGCAGTGGAGAGAGAGAAAGAGGTGTGATGTTTATAAAGAGAACTGGAGCCAGAGTCGATGGAGCCGGAAGGACGCCCATAATCTGTGTATCGTTCGTTTATTCGTTTTTCTAAATAAAAACAAAAATAAGAAAATGAAAAAAAACAAACTATTTTCTCCGTTATTTGTCTCCAAAATCAAAATGAAAAAACAGATAATGATTCGGTTTTTTTCAGTTTTCGGTTTTGGGTTTAAATGAAAAATGGAAAAAAATTGATAACGGACTGAACCAGGACTAAACCAGGACTAAACCAGGTCTAAACCAGGTCTAAACCAGGACTAAACCAGGTCTAAACCAGGACTAAATCAGGACTAAACCAGGATTAAACCAGGACTAAACCAGGTCTAACCAGGACTAAATCAGGTCTTAACCAGGACTAAACCAGGACTTAACCAGGACTAAACCAGGACTAAATCAGGTCTTAACCAGGTCTTAACCAGGACTAAACCAGGACTAAACTAGGACTAAACCAGGACTAAAACAGGACTAAACAAGGACTAAACCAGGACTTTACCAGGACTTTACCAGGACTAAACCAGGACTAAAACCAGGTCTAAGATAGATCTAAACCAGGACTAAAACCAGGTCTAAGGTAGATCTAAATCAGGTCTAAACTAGATCTAAACCAGGTTTAAACCAGGACTAAAATCAGGTCTAAACTAGATCTAAACCAGCACTAAAACAGGATTTAACAGGACTAAATCCTGCTGCGTGGTCGTGTCTCCTCTTCTTCTATCAATAATATTTTTAATACGGTTCAGTCTCCTCGTCTTTGCTTCTCTACAGCAAATCCAGTAATCCAAAGTATTCAGATTACATTACTCACTTTAAGTAATTTAATGGATTACGTTACAAACTACATTTTGGGGTGTGTAATCTGTAATCTGTAGGGGATTACATTTTAAAAGTCACCTTCCCAACACTGGTAACGGGCTGGAGAGCGACTGGAGACCCCTGGTGTATACAGTCTGTGGTCAATACTGCGTTCTCCTGGAAGTATTTGTACATATTGTGTTAACCTCGAGTGACCAGACGTCCCTGTTGACCCGGGACAGTCCCAGGTTTGAGCCTTGTGTCCCTCGTCCCAGCAGATTTAAACACAAAACCACTGATTTGTCCCAGTTTTATACAAGAAATGTCCCTGGTGTCCCTATTTTTGATCTAAACTAGGACTAAACTAAGACTATTCTGATTCCCCCCAACAGTAGGGTAACCAAACAATACTCCCTACGACTGTGCAACAACTCACCCTCATGTAACAGATAATACTCCCTACGACTGTGCAACAACTCACCCTCATGTAACAGATAATACTCCCTACGACTGTGCAACAACTCACCCTCATGTAACAGATAATACTCCCTACGTACAACTGCAACTCAAACTCATATAACAGATAATACTCCCTACGACTGTACAACTCACCCTTATGTAACAGATAATATCCCTACAACTGTACAACAACTCACCCTCATGTAACAGATAATACTCCCTACAACTGTAACAACAACTCACCCTCATGTAACAGATAATACTCCCTACAACTGTACAACAACAACCTCATGTAACAGATAATACTCCCTACGACTGTGCAACTCAAACTTATAAACAGAATACCCCTACAACAACAACTCCTTATGTAACAGATATACTCCCTACAAGTGTACAACTCAAACTTATATAACAGATAATACTCCCTACGACTGTTGCAACAACTCACCCTTATTGTAACAGATAATACTCCCTACGACTGTGCAACAACTCACCCTCTTGTAACAGATAATACTCCCTACGACTGTACAACAACTCACCCTTATGTAACAGATAATACTCCCTACAACTGTACAACAACTCACCCTTATGTAACAGATAATACTCCCTACGACTGTGCAACAACTCACCCTTATGTAACAGATAATACTCCCTACAACTGTACAACAACTCACCCTCATGTAACAGATAATACTCCCTACGACTGTGCAACAACTCACCCTCATGTAACAGATAATACTCCCTACGACTGTGCAACAACTCACCCTTATGTAACAGATAATACTCCCTACAACTGTACAACAACTCACCCTTATGTAACAGATAATACTCCCTACTGTACCAACTCACTTTATGTAACAGATAATACTCCCTACAACTGTACAACAACTCACCCTTATGTAACAGATAATACTCCCTACAACTGTACAACAACTCACCCTCATAACAGAAATACACGATGCAACACTCACCCTATGTAACAGATAATACTCCCTACGACTGTGCAACAACTCACCCTTATGTAACAGATAATACTCCCTACGACTGTGCAACAACTCACCCTTATGTAACAGATAATACTCCCTACAACTGTACAACAACTCACCTTATGTAACAGATAATACTCCCTACGACTGTGCAACAACTCACCCTTATGTAACAGATAATACTCCCTACAACTGTACAACTCAACCTTATGTAACAGATAATACTCCCTACAACTGTACAACCAACCTTATGTAACAGATAATCCTACTGTGCAACAACTCACCTTGTAACAGATAAACTCCCTACACCTTGCAACAACTCAATGTAAACAGATAATACCCCTACGATTGCAACAACTCACCCTTATGTAACAGATAATACTCCCTACGACTGTGCAACAACTCACCCTTAGTAACAGATAATAAAATCCTGACTGTGCAACAACTTCACCTCATGTAACAGATAATACTCCTACAACTGTGCAACTCAAACTTATATAACAGATAATACTCCCTACTACTGTGCAACAACTCACCCTTACATGTAAAAACAGATAATACTCCTACGACTGTGCAACTCACCCCTTATGTAACAGATAATACTCCCTACGACTGTGCAACAAAACTCACTTATGTAACAGATATTTCTCCCTACGACTCTCTCTGCAACAATAACCCTTAAACAGATATACTCCCTACACTGTACAACAAACTCACCCTTATGTAACAGATAATACTCCCTACACCGTAACAAACTCAAAATTTTATAACAGATAATACTCCCTACAACACTGGCAACAAACTGTACCTATGTAACAGATAATACTTACACCTGACAACTCAAACTTATGTAACAATAATACTCCCTACAACTTTGTTACTCAACAACTCACCCTTATGTAACAGATAATACTCCCTACACTGTGCAACAACTCACCCTTATGTAACAGATAATACTCCCTACACCTGTACAACTCAAACTTATATAACAGATAATACTCCCTACAACAGCGCAATAACTTGCCCTTATGTAACAGATAATACTCCCTACACCTGTACAATTCAAACTTATGTAACAGATAATACTCCCTACAACTGTACAACAACTCACCCTTATGTAACAGATAATACTCCCTACGACTGTGCAACAACTCACCCTCATGTAACAGATAATACTCCCTACGACTGTGCAACAACTCACCCTCATGTAACAGATAATACTCCCTACGACTGTGCAACAACTCACCCTTATGTAACAGATAATACTCCCTACCACTGTACAACAACTCACCCTTATGTAACAGATAATACTCCCTACAACTGTGCAACTCAAACTTATATAAACATAAAAACAACATCATAAAAACAAATAAATAAATAAACAAACAAAAAAAGATAGAGGTAGTTTCAGTAGTTCCACAGTCCTCATTAAAAATAATAACAATAAAAAATTATTTATTAACTTAAAAAAAAGATAGAGCTAATTTCAGTCGTTCCACAGTCTTCGTAAAAAAAAAAAAAAAAAAAAAAAAACATAACTTAAGCGCCTTTCAGTCAAATCCCAGGGCCACACCTTTGTCCCCGCGCTGTGACGGGAGCCTGACAGTCCATGCACCGGGCTTCACTCCCTCACTTTCTGAGACGCGCTGTTGACCCGAAGTCCAACAGCGCCTCGAGTCAAACCAGTGCAGCACGCGGAGCTTCTGACCCACTAAACCGAGGAGACCCGCGCCGCGCAGACATGTCCACGGACCCGGAGCTGTTCGACTGCATCGTGATCGGGGCCGGGGTCCAGGGCTCGTTCACGGCCTACACCCTGGCCAAACGGGGCAAGAGGACTCTGCTTCTGGAACAGGTGAGGGGCGGACTGCAAACTTTTACACACTTTTCACTTACTTTTCACTTTTGCACGGTCAAAATTCACAGAAACACGTATTATTTTATCTGTGTGCACGCGGTTTTACATGAATAACCCTGTAATGTAGTCAGTGTTGGGAAGGTTATTTTTAAAATGTATTCCCCTACAGATTACAGATTACATACACCAAAATGTAGTTTGTAACATAATCCATTAAATTACTTAAAGTGAGCAATGTAATCTGAATACTTTGGATTACTTGATATTGTCATGTTTTTTAAAACTACATGAATGTACCAACCACATCCTGAAAATTCTTGTTTGTTCAGTGTTTACTTGACCAGATTAAAAATATTATTGATAGAGAAATTATTTTTATATGAAATCACAATATTTCCACCCTACTGTTAGTGTCATGCTGTATTAGTTTAGTCCTAGTTTAGTCCTGGTTTAGTCCTGGTTTAGTCCTGGTTTAGTCCTGGTTTCAGTCCTTGTTTAGTCTTGGTTTCAGTCCTGGTTTAGTCCTAGTTTAGTCCTGGTCTTAGTTCTGGTTTTATTTCTGGTTTTAGTCCTACTTTAGCCCAAAATGTGAAAATACCACCATGTAATCCATTTATTTCAACAAAGTAACTGTAATCCAATTACCACTCACTGAAACAGTAACTGTAACTGAATACAGTTACTCATAATTTGTACTCTGATTACGTAACTCCGGTACATGTAATCTGTTACTTCCCAACACTGAATGTAGTGTACAAAATGTCTGAAAAATGCAAAATAAACAGAGTCTGGGTGGGATTACATAAATTTTCCTCTTTACATCAGTTTTTGAGCATATTTTTGTTGTTATTTTTATTATGATTTCACTAATCTTATATGTTCCATTGTGTAAGAATGTAAAACTCAAAAAACATAAAAAATAATAAAACAGAGTTGAATAATAGAACGATTTTAAAGTGCATTGCGTAACTTTTTTTGTTTGAGGGTCCGTCCCCTGCTTGTTTCTAAGGACATGTCATTATATCACCAGCCGCCACTGACTAAAACTACTTCTTAAAGGTGCATTGTGTAACTTTTCTCCATGGAGATGTTGTTGCTTTGTCCGGAATGTTCCACAGTGTGACTTTAAACAGCTCTACTGTACATTTTTTCAATTACATGCCGTTTTAAAACTCAAAAATATCTACAAAAACAACATTCTGACTGTGAGCGGCGTCGCCTCTCCACAGATCTGACCTGTAACTTGGTTTGAGTTGGATTCCGTGAAGATATAAAAGTTTAAAGCCACACTGTGAAACATTCCAGACAAAGAAATAACATCTACATGACGACTCTTCACCAGAAAAGTTACACAATGTACCTGTAAGATTAGGGGTGTGCAAAAATATCAAAATATCGTTATATCGTATCGTTTAATGTGATGATACAGTATCGATATCGTGGGCTGCTGTGTCGATATATCGCCAAGAGTGTTTTTTTGGTGTATTCTTATGAATTATTTTGTTACAGAGCTACAGTTTTGTTGTTTGTTCAGAGGAAGGAAACTCGTTTGTGCGACACATTTGACATTTTCACAGTTTTGATGATTAAATGTTTGTGTTTCATATGAACGTTGCACAAAAAGTGGTTTAACAAAGACTTTTAGTGTCACAGCCACGATTTAGCTTTTATTTTTTATTGAACCGTATTGAATCGATTTGAAATATATCGTAGTGAATCGAAAGTGCACTGTATCGAGGTATGTATCGTATTAGCAACTTCTTAATGATACCCAGTCCGATTTAAGATTTAGTTTTAGTCAGTGGCGGCTGGTGGTAAATGGTCACATTTTTCTGTAGCGCTTTTCCACCTTCAAGGCACTCAAAGCGCTTTACAACAAAGAGCCACTCACCCATTCACACACACATTCACACACCAGTGTACGCAGATACATTTTTTTTGGGTGGGTCGCTTAGGCCAAAATTATAAATATATATTATTAATATATGTATTATGTATAGGTTATATAGTATTATAATGAATGCCAGAAGCAGACATTTTGGTCACTATTGGCTGAACTATATCAGAGCAGAACGTACAACCTGATCTACCGCTCACACTCAGCCCCAACAACACAACACAAGTCACCGCTCACACCCATTCACAACAACACAATTTGCCCAAAACTAACAAAAACAAGACTCTTACCTTCCCCAGAGGAGCAGAGTGTGTCCTCTGTCCGCTGTCCTGTCGACTCTGTCTCCAAAAGTGCATTATTGTCCAATATGAAGAGGTAAAACTGGTCCAAATCCCGGTCCAGTGAAGTCCACGACGGTGGTCCGGGAGCCGAGCGCACAAGCTGGTTGTAAAACTAGTCTTAATCCCACTTCCCACTTAAATCTGAGAATTACAGCCAATCCATATTAGCACCAGGGCACCAGATAGACTTAAGCCCTCTGCGTGCTACGCCCAGGTCAAACTTTTCCACCCAGAAACTAGCGGACAGCGGCAGCGAGTGCCCCGGGTTCTGGCGTCGACAGTCAGTGCCCCGGCGGCTGTAAGTGCCCCGGGTCTTGGCCGTGGGTCTGTGTCAGTGTGTCGCTGCTCTGGGTCTGGTGAGCGGTGTCCCTCTCTCTCGTGTCTGTGTCTCCTGTGTGGAGGTTTAGGTGAATGTTCCTCCTCCCTGCCCCCCCAACACGTACTTCAGGGCTGCAATATAAAGTAAACAAAACATGAAACATGCAGCCTAATAAAAAATAACACCCTAACTTGACCTAGATAAAAATGTATTACACTGGTTTTCCTGGAAACTTTATTGCAGTAACAGCTCAGTTATAAAACACTTTATTGTTGTGTCATTAATGAGAGGCTGTTGTAGCCGCAGCTGATCTTTTCTTTAATCTTTTGCACAGATCAAATTACACAGAGATCAATCCGTCTGTTTATTGTCAACATTATCTCAGCTCGGACCAACAAACGAGTCAAGTGCAAAGACCAATCGAACAGATAAACTCTGACACTTGGACCCTGACAGGTCGAGGCAACAGCCATGAAACGAACGGAGAAGCTGATTGGTTGAGAGGTAAAGGTGTTACGCTGTGATTGGCTGACGGGTCTTCCAGTTTTGATGTGATAAAAGTCAAAATAAAATAAATTAAAAGTGTGCTGAGTTTCAAATGGAGCTGGAGACGGGTCAGAATCCACAGGTGGAGTTTTCTGTCGGTTCATATCTCTGTAATTCCTGGGCCTATTCACATGAAATAAAAACCGTCACGAAGTTCAGCGTCTTCTCTTTCAGCGTAAATAAACAGCTTCACAACAGCTTCAGAAAGTGGTGCCAATATTCAACCCCAAAGACGTGATTGTAGTCAGTTCAAAGGCCCGATATTACGCAAAATTGACACGTTGTGAGCTTTAAATCACAATAAAATGTTGTTATTTAATCAAAAACAGACCTGGAGTTGTGTTTTGTTTTGTTTTAATAATCCTTCATTAGCCTGTCTACATCCTTTTACCTTTTACTTTTAGTTCAAAACAAACTCCAGGGATGCTTTTGGTAAGAAAACTACATTATAACACATAGTAGAGCATAAAAACAGTGTCATATGGAAAGTTTGTGGAGCCAATTTCTAACAAATAATGATAAAGTTTGACATTTGTGGATCTTAAGTTTCAAGAATTCTTAAAAAAAAAAAAACAGTGAATCCCCCGTAGAATTTATACAGTCCCCTGCAAACCATCTGAAATCTCCTTATATTCATAACCTGTAGAGTTTTAAATGACGGCGTTGTTGTTGTTGTTGTTGTTGTTGTTGTTGCAGTTCGTCCTCCCGCACACTCGGGGGAGCTCTCATGGACAGACGCGGATCATCAGAAAAGCATACACCCAGGACTTCTACACTCACATGATGGAGGAGTGTTACCAGCTGTGGGCGGAGCTGGAGAAGGAGGCGGGGGTCAAACTCTACAGGTACAACACACAGAGACACGTCACACGAGCAACTGGGTCTAAAAATGTCGGCCCATTCAAGTCAATGGGACGAGCTCAGTGGCGCATGACTCCAGATTCACCTTTAGCCCGGCGAGGTTCTTCCGCAGCAGTGCTCTTTTCTCCTGCCGGCACACAGGAAACAACACACTACTGCATGTGAGCGCACTCATGGAGAATCTACCTATTTTTAGATCATAAACTTATTCTCAGCTCAAAATCCTTCAGTTGTCTTAAAAAACTCTTTATAATCGTTCGCTCCGGCTACGCTCCAGCTCCTCTCGCTCTGATTGGTCAAAGCGATCATGTGATACACGAGACTGCGCTCCGTAATCCGTGTATCAGTCGTTCATTCATTTTTCAATATAAAACCAAAAATAAGAAAATGAAAAAACAACAGTTTTCTTCATTATTTGTCTCCCAAACCAAAATGAAAAAACAGATAATGATTCGTTTTTTCAGTTTTCGATTTTATTTTTAAATGAAAAATGGAAAAAACGGTTTATGTGACTTTCGTGACTGCGATGCCGGACTTTTGCACCGCATACGGACTGAACCAGGACTGATCCAGGTCCGGGACTGAGACCGGGACTGAGACCGGGACTGGTTCCGTGCGGGAAAAGTGAGAATGCGCTGTGGACTACAGGTCCGGACGGGCTGCTCTGGTCCTCCGCGCTCAAGAACCGCGGCTGGTTCCGGTTTAGTGCAAAGCATCCGGACAGAAGCGTGAGTCCAATTTGGTTGGTTTATAATGTTTTGACCATTCGTCCTCCGCGCATTTGGTTCTTCCCAGGGAAAAGCGCTTCTCAGGCCGAGGCTCCAAACATCACTCCCCACTTCAGAACCAGAGCTGCTCCCACTGGTTGGAATAGTTCGTTTGGACCTGCTGTCTCTGGTATGGACCCGAGTTCGCGTTCACACCAGAGGAACCACACCAAAATTTGGTATTTGTTGCGGATTCAAGCGAACCGAGACCACCTCTTTTTGATGTCTTGGTCCGCTTGATTTGGTGCGGGTCCGAGTCCGACTGAAGCTTTCACACCAACGAACAAACGAACTGAATTAAGAGCTTTTGGTTCGAATGGACCGTTTGGTGCGCACCGACTACTGTTTGTGTGAAAGCACCCTGAGACCGGGACCAGACCGGGACCAGACCGGGACCAGACCGGGACCAGACCGGGACCAGACCAGGACCAGACCAGGACCAGACCGGGACCAGACCGGGACCAGACCGGCGGCTCAGAGCCCACGGCAGGGCCGGAACTCGAAGCTGGGGCTCAGACCCTGCGGAGGCTCAGAGTGAAAAGCTCGGAGTCCACTCTGGTCCCGGTCTGGTCCCGGACCTGGATCAGGCCTGGTTCAGTCCGTATGCGATGCAAAAATCCGGCATCGCAGTCACGGTCGTTATCCGTTTTTTTCCATTCTTCATTTAAACACAAAATCGAAAACTGAAAAAATGTCATTATCTGTTTTTCCATTTTGGTTTTGGAGACAAATAATGAAGAAAATTGTTGTTTTTTTGTTTTCTTGTTTTTGGTTTTATATTGAAAAATGAATGAACGAATGATGCATGGATTCGCACGGATTACGGAGCGCAGTCTCGTGTATCACATGATCGCTTTGACCAATCAGAGCGAGAGGAGCTGGAGCGTAGCCGGAGCGAACGATTATAAAGAGTTTTTTAAGACAACTGAAGGATTTTGAGCTGAGAATAAGTTTATGATCTAAAAATAGGTAAAAATTGCCACAAAATCCGGCATTTTTGAAAGTTGTAGGTTCCCCTGTCTCTCTTCTTTTCCCTCTTTCTCTTTTGTCTCACAGCTTTCTTTTATCCAACCTTCTTCTTCTCCCTCTCTCCTCATTTTCATTTTTTCTTTTCTCCTCTCACCCTCCCTCCCTCTCTCTCCTTTTCATCTCGTCTTTTCTCCTCATCCTCCCTCCCTTCTTCTCTCTCTGCTTCTTTTTATCCCTTCCTTTCTCCTCGTCCTTTGTCCCTCTCTCTCTGTGTCCTCCTTTTCATTTCTTTCTTTCTCCTCTCATCCTCCCTTCCCTCTCTCCTCTTCCTCTCGCTCTCCTTTTCACACTCTCTCTCCTCCCCCTGCTCTCTCCATCTCTATCTCTTCTCTCTCTCTCTTACCTTTCGTCTTTTTCCCTCTTCCCCTCTTCTCCTCTCACCCTCTTCCTCTCCTCTCTTTCCTCTTTTCTTGTTTCTAAGGTGCGCTGTGTAAAATCATGTCGACCCTGAAAACACAAAAATACACCAAAAAAACACACAAAAAGTACACAAAAATACACAAAAAATACACAAACACGAGTCTGTGAAGTGGAGAAGAGCAGAGCCTTTAGTGTAGAGTGGGTTTAAACTGGGACATGACCTGAACACACTTTTATTATATTTATTTATTTATCTCTCTTTTTATTCTGATAATTGTGGTTTTAGGGGAGGCTGATATTGTTTCGACTAGTGATGGGCATTTGATGAAATTTTCTTAATCGATCGTCGGAAGAATTAACGATCGATTATCGATTAATCATTAACGTTTTTATATTAAAATGATCATCATTATTATTACTATCTGCACTACTAATCTGCATAAATAAATTCAACTTTACGACATATAAACCGTAACGACTCTAGAGCCACATCAGCCCGTTTGACATTATAATGTGTTTAATTCAGTTTTGTGCAACTCTCACAGAAACGAAACTTAAAACTGCATTGTTAATTTGCATAAACTAAACGAAGATAAAACTACAGCTCTTGTGTCGCTGATGTGGTTCAGTTTCTGTTGGATTAAAAGACATGACTCAGGTGAATACAGGTTAGTGTGACCAGATTTGCGTTTGTTAAAAACCAGGACAGCGTACGGGGGAGGGAGGTGGGGACTCGTCATCCACATTGAGCGACTCTCACCTGGTAAAACTTTTTCCCACTGGACACAGAAACATATGTGCTGCTTTATACACTGTGCACATGGACTCACACTTGTCCCGAACGCAACGGAAAGTGTGGAATTTCTTGTACAAATCATCGTTAAATACACATTTGTGCTTCGGTACGTTGCAGACTGACCCACTGTTTGTGTCTCGCTCCTTCTGATGCAGAGACACATGTACACACCTGTTTGGTCACGATACACACAGCAACCTACATTCGGATTGTCGATTAAAATTAACATAATTGATTAAATTCTTAATGATGAATTATCGATTAATCGACTAATCATGCCCATCCCTAGTAATAATAATGATGATACTGTGGAATATAAGTGACTGCATCTGTTAAAATTTGTTAAACAATAAATAACTTTATAAAGTCACTTTTTTTTGTTCTATATCACTATATATATTGTCTTTTGATCTGCCACAATAATGTAATAATGAATTTAAATGAAAATATCTCAAGTTGAAGCTTTTCTCCGCAATTTATAGGTGAGATTAAAAAAAGATTAATTTGATTAATTAATTACAGATCATAATTAATTAATCTCTACATTTTTTTTATCGCCTGACAGCACTAGTAGTATATGTCCTTCGTGTCGAGGCTTCAAAATGTGTTGAGTAATCCAGGAAGTCTTTGGTGAAGCGCGTATCGAGGCTCGTATCGGTGACATATATCGTGTTCGGTGACGTTCGAAGCCTCGTGAACCGCCCGTAAAACGCGATTTGGCGCGATTCGAAACATAAGGGCCAGTGAAACTCAACGGATTCACCCAGAACATTTTGTAGTTTTGGGTTATTGCGAGTTTGGTACATTTTATTTGAGATTCTTTTTTTTTTTTTCTGAAATGCCTGTTTTTCTTGGTATTTTTGAGCTTTAAAACCACTTGTAATTGAATAAATGTAAGGTTGAGCTGTTTAATGTCACACTGTGGAACATTTCAGACAGACGTATCCATAGAAACAAGCAGGTGATGAATCCCCATGCAGAAATGTTACATAGTGCACCTTTTAATGTTGAAAATCGCATTATATAAGAGTATTTTGGTGTGTTTTTTCTTATTATTTTTATCCTCGTGGTATCAGAATCAGTATTGAGTGTCAAGTCTGTTCCTTAGTATCATGTCAAAATAGTTTAGTTTTCATTTTACTATCGTCATGACAACACTAGCTCCCAATAAAACATCCCGTGTCTCATATTTCTCTCGCCGAGCTGCAGCCCGGGGCCTCTCTGATATACTGCTTAAAGAAATCTCCATCTGAGCTGATCTCATTATGCAGATTCTATTTAAACCTCGTCTGTTAAATTATTCTCAACTCCCCGTGAACTGTCAATCCTTTTAATTTGTGTCCGGAATATTTATTATGGTTTCGTTTCCGAGGTCAGAGCAGCTGCGTCCGTCCGGCTGCCGTGTCCTCGGGCTCGTTACGCAGGGGTTACACCGGCAGTTTGTCTTTATAATATTTTAATATTCACTCTGTAAATAATACGCTGCTGTTTAAATATGCAGTTTACATTAGACGGTACAGTACAGTGGCTCTCTCTCTCTCTCACTCCCCTGCTCCCCCTTCAGAGCGCTGCCACGACACAATCAGAGCGTATCCCGCTGATGAAACGACCGCACGTTGTCTCAGATTGTGTGTCTCCAGCGATGAGATCAGGAATCAGAATCCACTAAACCAGGGGTGTTCACACTTTTTCATCATGTGAGCTTCTTACAAAATGATCAAGTCATAAAGATCTACCTAATACAAAGCAAAGCAAACTGCACTGAAACACTCTGTGCCCCTTTTTTGGACCCTCACCCACAGTTTGAGAACCTCTTCTTTAAGAGAACTTCCTCTGACACTTTACACAAAACTGTGAAAAAAGTGAAGGAAGATTTTTAAACCTGTTTTTTAAAGTTCCAAACTGGAGTTTCATTCTTTTCTGGTTTTGCAGTGATATTTACCAGCCTCTGCACGTTTACCAAACCAAACGCACATCGTGACAAACACAGATGCATTTGTCACTTTTGTTAGACAAACTTCAGCCAAATGTGGCAGTAGGTCTGTTCTGTAGATCCGCTCTATGCTGTAGACCTGCTTTGTGCCAACACTGGAACACAAATTTAGACTGGTTTTTGCTTCACGTTTGGTCTTGCTCTTCTAATCAGCCGCACTGTGGGAGGGGCTTGTGTTGGCTGTACGCAGGAAGGAGCGAGAGCGTGAAAAGGCGAGGGGCGGCGTGCTGACGTGAGGCAGATGGACAGGTAGGATGTTTAGGAAGTTGAACCTGCCCTGTGATGCACGCTGGTACACGAGGGCACACGCTGTTGCAGACGAGCCGTGCGTAGGGAGTGTGTGTGTTTGTGATGTGCCGTAGAGTCTCCGCGGGTTTCAAATGAGCGCACAGGCTGCACTGAGACGCCCCACACGCTCCTGCACCCGCTACAAGTTTATTACAACAGCAGCGGCCGGAATGAAATATGATCACACTTGTTGAGTGTCAGACCTCGAGTGAGAGACAAGACCGAGTCCAAACACTACGAGTCCGAAACGAGACACGTGGCGATCAGCTGTGAAGCCATGACGTCAAAACTCAAGCGTCTGTCTGGGTCCATTTTGTGGAACAGCACAACAGTAAACAAAGCGGTCGAGATGGATGTAGATGAAGACATAGGGGCTGTCGCAAAAAATGCAAAAATGAATCACCGTGGTACTAAGAGGCCCATCGTGGTGGATGTTGGGCAACGTGACCCAACCCAGAGTCTTGCACGGGTCCATTTTTAGAGACCTGCACCCACCTGGACCCTTTAACATTCCACCTGTTACCGCCCGTGCCCGTGATAACCCAGGACCAACCCAGGACTAACCCAGGACTAACAGCTCTGCGCTCGGAGGTAAGTGCGGCCATTGCCCTATAACGCTTTGCGGACACCTGCTCCGTGTGCTCGTGCTCGGGGTTCTCTCTCTCTTAAGTCCGCGGGTATCTGACCTGGCGCATGACTCTGACCCGACCCGGCGCATGACTCTGACCCGACCCGGCGCAGGACTCTGACCCGACCCGGCGCAGGACTCTGACCCGACCCGGTGCATGACTCTGACCCGAGCTGCCACAGTCAGAGCTGGAAAGATGCAGCGTTACTTGTTCCAAAGTCAAATGTTACTTCTCCCGCTGCACACACTATGTCCACACGACAACCAAGGTACATGTGCCTCTGCGCAACAAAAGACGTTATTGTCCTTCTTCCTACGGGATTTGGGAAAAGCTTAATATACCAGTTAGTTCCATTAACGGCACATTACATACATCACGACCAAGTAAATTGATTAAATTAAAAAAAAAATGCCCGCCTTCCGTCGAGCGAACAAATCCTAATGCTGCGAGGTCAGACGGTTTCCACAAAGTCAAACCAGCTGATGAATCAGGCTATAAATCTGCTCCAGTGTCAAATCTTCAACCAACAAGGTCCACAAAGGATAAACATTCTAACGTGAAGAATTTATCCACAACTATCAAGAGAAGAAAGACGAAAACTTAAAGGAGAACAACGATGACGCATTAGTGAACAACTGAACAAAACTAACATGATATCCTAGAGATCTCTCGCATTCGAACTCCACAAATCTATTTATCTATGTTAATATCGACATCATAAAATCGATTTTTTATTTTAATTGTAGAATCAGTCTGAGTGAACAAGTTACTTCTGTTTCATTCATGACCATAACATTAGTTTTGCTCAGTAGTTCACTAACGCGTCGTCGTCGTTGTTCCTCCTTTTAAGTTTTCGTCTTTCTTCTCTTGATAGTTGTGGATAAATTGTTCATGTTAGAATGTTTATCCTTTGTGGACCTTGTTGGTTGAAGATTTGGTGATGGGTCAGATTTATGAAGCTGCTGGAGAATCTGCTGAAATCCTCCAAGACACTGACACGATACCAGACAGGACAGCGGCTCTTTCTGCAGGAAACATGCGTCTGTCTGTTTGATAATCCTGTCGTAATTCTGTGGTTTTACCACCGTGTTACAGGCAGTGTACAGAAAAAGCTCGTACCAGTATTTAATAAAAAGAATTTTAAATCATTCTGTGTACCATCTTTTGGTGTAAATATCTCAAGTTACAACGTGAACACCTACGTAGGCCTGTAACGATAACAGATTTTGCTGGACGATTAATTGACCAAGAATTTATTGTGATAAACGATAATATTGACATTTTGAGACCAATTTCAACTAATATAATGACCATGGAATAAAAATGCAAATACACCCTTTCAAAAACCAATAAACTTTACTTTCTAAATAACATTTAACACAGGAAGTGTAAAACAACCAAAAATAACAGGCATAAATAAAACAGACTTGTTAACATGAGAATAGCCAAATGTAGTTTTGTTTACATCATGGACTTAAAAAAAATGCTCTTGAATAAACCATTGTTGAACCAAACACAACAAAAACAATAAATAAAATGGATTATTAAATCTCTGTAACAAAATTGCCCTTATAAGTGATTTTAGACATTGACTTACATTGGAATATTGTGTCTCGTCTCTGTGGCTGCTGCTGTGGCCTCGTCATTTTGGTCATTTAAATGTTCATATTAACCCGTGACACAGGATCCTGTTTCACTCTGAGGGAGCCGCTGTCCTCTCTGGTGTTGTGTTGGTTTCTTGTGGGATTTCGTGGTCTCCCGGGGGCTAGTCGCTGTGTCGATTGGGTTTGGGTTTATCGGCTGTTGGGGTTTGTGACATTTCTTCTCGTTTTCGTGCTCACTGTATTTGACGCATGTGGCTGTTGAGACGTGTCTCGCTCACCAGTGTTGATTCGGCATCGTGTTGTTTTGGCACTCGGAGATGAACTGTTTTGTCACTCTGACAGCGGCCCTAGCTTGTGTTGCTAGCGCACCGCACAGACAGCGGCGCTTTCTGCACTCACAGAAAACATGCAGAAAGCGCAGATCCGCTCTGTTGATAAACACGGCGCACGATGGTTCAAGCGTCATTACACTTGTTAAACGAGAGGAGCCAGAGAGCGACAGAAGCTTCTAACATTCACCCTCTTTGAGAGCGAGGAAAACAAACAAGCTGCAAATAGTATTGCGGCCAGAAAAGTTATCGAGCGTGTTAAAAGTTATCGTGCGATTAATTGATTTATTGATTATCGTTACAGGCCTACACCTGCAGCTTATAGACAAGTGCAGCCTGTATATGTAAAAAAAAATAAAATAAATCTTTTAAAATCTGGTTGATGCGTCTTATATTCAGGTGTGCTCAATAGTCCAGAAATTATGGTAATATCTGTTTTAAATTATAATATATTGATAAGGAGGGAGAGGAGGAGGATGACTTCTAAAACTTCTTCAGGCGTATTTTTGATGAGGGAAATATGGGCGAAAACTCTAAAAAGTGGATTTTGCATAATAATAAAAGTCCCTCCTGCCCTGACCTGACCCTCCGTCTCTGTTCCTCAGACAGACCGGCCTCCTGGTGATGGGTCCAGAGAACAGTGAGTCTTTCCTGCAGATAAAGGGCACTCTGCAGAGGTGCAAAGCTCCAACCGTGAGCCTCAGTCAGGAGGACTTCAGCTCCCACATCCCCCACATGAGGCTGGCTCCTGGGGACGGGGCCATCGTGGACGTGAGCGCCGGGGTCCTGTACGCCGACAGAGCGCTCAAGACGGCACAGGTACACGACACGGGGACACGAGACAGGGACACGACACGGGGACACGAGACAGGGACACGACACAGGGACGCAATATGGGATACGACACGGAGAAGAAAGAAACAACATCGGGGACAAACAAGACAGAGACACGACACAGTGACACGACACAGGGACACGACACAGGGACACGACACGGAGAAACGACACGACACGGAGAAACAACATGGGGACACAACATCAGACACGACAGAGACACAAGACAAGACACGGGACACAAGACAGAGACACAAGACAGAGACAGACAACGGGGACACACAAGACAGAGACACAAGACAGAGACACGACACGGGGACACAAGACAGAGACACAAGACAGAGACACAAGACAGAGACACAAGACAGAGACAACACAAGACAGAGACAAGACACAGACACGGGACACGACACAGGGGACACAAGACAGAGACACAAGACAGAGACACGACACGGGGACACGACACGGGGACACAAGACAGAGACACAAGACAGACACACGACACGGGGACACAACACAGGGACACGACACGGAGACACAAGACAGAGACACAAGACAGAGACACAAGACAGAGACAAGACACGGGGACACGACACGGGGACACAACACAGGGACACGACACAGAGACACAAGACAGAGACACGACACGGGGACACAAATTGGAGACACGATAGGGGGACACGACACAGGGACACGATACAGGGACACGACACCGGGACACGATACAAGGACACGATACAGGGACACGATATGGGGACACAACATTTGGACACAAGACAGAGACACAAGACAGAGACACAAGACAGACACGACACGGGGACACAACACAGGGACACGACACAGAGACACAAGACAGAGACACGACACGGGGACACGAGACGGGGACACGAGACAGAGACACAAGACAGAGACACAAGACAGACACACGACACGGGACACAACACGGGGACACGACACGGGGACACAAGACGGAGACACAAGACGGAGACACAAGACAGACACGACAAGACACGACACGACACGGGGACACGACACGGGGACACGACACAGGGACACGATACAAGACACGATACGGGGACACAACATGGGGACACAACATTTGGACACAAGACAGAGACACAAGACACAGAGACACAAGACAGACACGACACGGGGACACAACACAGGGACACGACACAGAGACACAAGACGGAGACACGACAGAGACAAGACACGGGGACACGACACGGGGGACACGACACAGAGACACAAGACAGAGACACAAGACAGAGACACGATACAGGGACACGACACAGAGACACGATACGGGGACACAACATAGAGACACAAGACAGAGACACGACACAGGGACACAAAATGGAGACGCGACACAGGGGACACAACAGAAACTGGAGGCACTGCTCTGTCTAAAGCTCTGGTCCTCAAGTACAGAACAGAGGAACAGATCTATCAAGAAGCAACTAACAAAATATTTGGTCTTCTGAGGACCTCCAGAACTAAACCAGGTCTATAACAGGACTATAGCAGATCTAAAAGGACCACACATTTGCTAGAAACAAGGTCGAACCAAAAGACAGTGAAAAAATTTGGATAAAAATGACACAGCACAGCTTGCTTAATAAAACGTAAAATATGAAGAAAACAACTGATTAGATTTAAATGTAAAGACTACCCAACTGTTTCTACATATAGATTACTTATGTTTGTGGCATTATTTTATTTTAATATCTAAATATATAAGATATTTTAGCGAGGTGCCTGTAATATGGAAGATATGTTTCGTCAGATTTTGAATTTTAAATGCCACTAAATTTCTCAGTTTTAATTTTTAAACTCTGAAAAAAGTTTAACAATTTACAAGATATTACAAAGGTCTTGTTCAGGAGTGAGGGGAGGACGGAGCGTGAGATTGACAGGTGGATCGGTGCAGCGTCGGCAGTGATGCGGTCGCTGTATCGGACCGTTGTGGTGAAGAAGGAGCTGAGACGAAAGGCGAAGCTCTCGATTTACCGTCAATCTACTTTCTTCTCACCTATGGACATGAGCTCTGGGTAATGACCGAAAGGCAAGGCAAGGCAAGGCAAGTTTATTTGTATAGCACAATTCGTACACAAAGTAATTCAAAGTGCTTTACAGAATAAGAAATACATTAAAATCATAATAAAAACAAATCAAAACATAAATAATCATGAAGATTAAAATTAAAAAAGAGAGACATAAATTGGAGAGAAAAGTGCGGAATGAAAACCTTTCAGTTATTTGCACAGTTAAACAGAAATGTTTTGAGTCTGGATTTAAACAGCGTCACAGAAGAGTCTGTCTCACATGTTCAGACTGTTCCAGGTTTTAGCTGCATGAACCTGAAACTCTGACTCCCCTTGTTTAGTTCTGACTCTGGGCACCAGCAGGAGTTGGTCCCTGAGCTCCTCAGAGTGTGAGATGTTCATATGACACTAACATGTCACAGATGTACTTTGGTGCTCGGCCATGGAGAGACTTGTACAAGCAGAGCTGCTTTAAAGTCTATTCTCTGAGCCACAGGAGCCAGAGCAGAGACCTGAGCACAGGACTTATGTGCTCGTACTTCCTAGTTCGAGTCAGGACCCGAGCTGCAGCGTTCTGGATGTTCTGCAGCTGTCTCACTATACTCAATATTTAGATATTAAAATAAGAACAAGATCGTGGATACAAGTGGTCGAAAATGAGTTTCCTCCGCAGGGTGTCTGGGTGCTCCCTTAGAGATAAGGTGAGGAGCTCAGTCACACGGGAGGAGCTCAGAGTAGAGTCGCTGCTCCTCCACGTCGAGAGAAGCAGCTGAGGCTCGGGCATCTGGGGGCGTCCGGATGCCTCCTGGACGCCTCCCTGGAGAGGTTTTCCAGACACGTCCCACCGGGAGGAGACCCCGGGGAAGACCCAGGACACACTGATGGGACTATGTCTCTGAGCTGGTCTGGGAACGCCTTGGGGTCCCCCTGGAGGAGCTGAAGGAAGTCTCTGGGGTGAAGAAAGTCTTGGCCTCCTTGCTTCTTAGACTGCTGCCTCTGCGACCCGGCCCTGGACAAAGCAGAAGAAAATACTGTAACCTCTCCACAGATCTGACCTGCTTTTCTCCACAGATGGATCATTTAAAAGCCGTACTCTGAAACATTCCAGGGGCAAAGTGATATCACCTCTATGGAGATCAGCAGGAAAAGTTACATTGCAGACTTGAGTTGATCTGAAAGTGTAAATAGAAAATGCAACCACCATCACATTTCAGTTTGACGTTCCCCAAAATGGTGCAGCCTTCCCACGGCGCAGAGGTGTGAAGAACGATGACTGCTCAGAGAAAGTTTGACCAAAGTGTGGGCAGTTGGAGTGGAGTCTGTTAGAGCTTTTTAAACCAGTCTGCACTGAAACATGTTCACCAATAATCTGCTGTTTTCTTCTCTTCATCTTCACACAAATGAGTCACTGCTTCACACTTCTGTTTCTGCACAACTGATACTGGTCACTCTCGAAGCAAAACACGTTTCTCTAAACATTTCTAATGCTGAAAAGAAACTTTAAAGCTTCACCATGTCACGTTTCTGGAGAGTTTGCCTCTTGCTTGCTGCCAAGGCTCGTCACAGGCCATGTTACATTTCAAATCTGTGGAGAGGCAAGCCCACTCACTGTTAGAATGCATGTTTGTTAAGGTATTTTTGAGCGATAAACAGGGTTCCCACGGTCATGGAAATCCTGGAAAAGTCATGGTAGTTTGATTAGTGTATTTATTTATTGAGAAAGGGACAGTGCAAATTAATTGATTGTATTTTATTGACCTTTTAGCTATCAGCTGTTGTTCTTGGAGGTAGAGGTCTGCATGGGACAGAATTTTCAGTCGTGCTCCCGCCTGCACCCGCACTGTGCAGTCCTGCTCCCACCTGCTCCCGCAAAGAATTGTAATTTTCATTCCTGCGTCCATGCATCTGCGATATTATGTCCCGCTCCCGCTCGCAAGTCCTGCAAGATGGAGACGTTCCCTTTCGTAAACTCTATCAAACATGGAGAAGTGGAAAGGAATTGTCTAAAATGTGCGCAACATTAGACCACGTCCACAAAATAATACTGCTTCAAATGTTTTTATTAATGCCAAATAAAATACCCATCACAAATTATGATGATAGACAAACATTAATCATTTGTATATTTTACTTTACACTCATATTTAGTTTGCGGGACTGCATTTTATCATCCCACCCGTCCGCTCCCGCATTGTGCAGTCGTGCCGCTCTCGCCCGCACCCACCATGAGCTTTCAAAATGTGTCCCGCGCTGCACTGTTTTGCGTCTGGTCCCGCGGGTGTCGGGCTCTACCTGGAGACCTGTAGCATGTTTTGGGTTGATGGAGGAAACCAGAGTGAACGGAGGAAATCCATCCAGACACAGGGAAAAATATACAAACTCCACACAAAAAGACCCGGGCGACTCAGGGATCAAACCCAGAACCTTCTCACTGTGAGGCACGAGCCTTGGCACATGGAAACTGAAAATGTCAGAGTGAAATGTCAAACTCCAACACTCTATAGGGTTATTCAGCTGAACAACACCCAGAGGAGTTTAATCTTTACACTTTATTTTAGTTCATTTAAGATGAAATTATGAACAAAACTGGTTCAAACTGGTTCAAACTGGTCTTCTCTCGCGGGAGTTTCAAGTGGTGGGAGCCAAATTAAGTTATTGTTTTTATTTTTTTTATAGCTCTTTTCAAAGACATATGTCACCAAGACACTTTACAGAGCATTATTCATTCACTCCAGACCGTGTGGTGGTAAACTACTATTGTAGCCACAGCTGCCCTGGGGCAGACTGACAGAAGTGTGGCTGCCATGCCAATCGGCGCCATCGGTCCCTCTGACCACCACCATCACTCACACACACACCACTTTGATACAAGGCAATGTGGGTAAAGTGTCTTGCCTAAGGACACGACAGTTTTTGTGATTGGCGCCCCCCCGTGGCTCCTGATTTTCCCAGTGTCTCCATCCAAGTCCAGACCAGGCCAGACCTTGTTCATCTTCTGAGATCTGACGGGATGAGACTTTGACAAACCGGTATAACCAAATTAACATTAAGAAAAGATAAAACAAGAGGTAGAGCGCTTCACTGGGTCATAAAAGAGTAAAAAATATCAGTGCAGGTGCTCTACGAGGGTTAAGGCAGTGGTCTTAGAACAGAAAATGATCCTTACAGGACAATGTAAAAATGGGTAAGGTACAAACCCGAGGCTCCGACTGAATATATTAGAAGTCCTTTATTACATGAATGGACGCCAGTGTATTTCGACCCATTAATAGTCCGGTTCCTTATTCAAATTTTTTTACCTTAGTGGGAAGTTTTTGGGGATTTGCTAACCTATATATTTTTGGAAAGGTTATAGTATATGGAGTCAGAAAATCAATGTTTGCATTTGCCCAGATGTCTATATGGCGGCCATATTGGATTTTGAAAAAATGGCCGCCAAAAATCTCTTTTTGGAATATCTCAGCCTCTGAATAAGTTGAAATGTTGATTTTAACTGCTAAACCCACATTTTCAGGGTCAGGGAATCAAATGGTGCTAGATACAAACTTGTAAGACCTACCCACATTAACCCTTAGATGCATAAGTTGGTCAAAAATTACCCGATTTGGTTGTTTTTTTTTTTGCAATTTCATTGTGATATTTGCATGTAATACTCCATGTTCCTCCAAAAATATGTTTTTTTTTTATTATCCTGTTGAAATACAACAAATACAACATGCAAATGCAAACATTGATTTTCTGACTCCATATACTATAACCTTTCCAAAAATATATAGGTTAGCAAATCCCCCAAAAATTCCCACAAAAGTATATAAGGAACCGGACTATAAGGATTGACCCATAACATTAAGGAAAGTTGAATTAACTTCAACCAAATCAACTCTGGCAAATAACCCCAACTGAAACCCACATTTAACTTTCAAATAGTTAAAATAACACATTTATTATTAATATTTTACCCTTAAATTTTAACCCTCCAGTTTCTGCTTTGTATGTTGAGGGACGTCCTCATGGTCGCCTGTCCACAGATCTGACCTGTAATGTGTCCTGGTTTAGTTTTTATTTGGAGCAGGACATATTCAGCTCAGATACGTGGGTAAAACTGCGGCAGAGGGCCTTTTAATAGAATGTAAATACAGACTTGATAATTGTCTCGTACAAATGTCTGGAGCCAAGTGGAACATGTAAAACAGCAGGCGTGAAATGGGACGATTAGCGAGTGTTTCAGAGCTCAGTCAGTGTCAGAGCGTCTGCCCAAAATAATGAGATTAAACCCTCACAGGCTCGGTTTAATCTGTCATTTATACTTCGCACGGTTGTCATGGCGCCCGGAGGATGAGGAGCAGACAATACAGTAAATACACTCAGGTTAAGCGCCGTCTTAATGAGGTCGTCAACGTCAAATGGATTTTCGTGGATGAACTTTGATCATTGTTCCTTTGTGTAAATCGCAGCTTCGTACGTCAAGCAAAGTCAGTGTTTACTGAAAAAAAAACAATGGTTGGGGGTCATTGCTCTGCCGGGAATGTTCCACAATATGACATTAAGCAGCTCTACTTTACATTTATTCAGTTACAGGTGGTTTTATAGCTCAGAAATACCAAGAAAAACAGACATTTTGGCTACGTCCAGACTGCAGCCTGAAGTGACCCAAATCCGATTTTTTGGCTTCTATGTGACCTGGATCTGATCTTTTAATGACAGTCTGAACGACACAGATCCGATTTTTTCAAATGTGACCCAGGACACTTGGATATGTGCTCCTGAAACCGATACATATCTGATCTTTTGACATGTGACTTCAGTCTGAACGGCCAAAGTGCATTCATCCACCTACACGTTATCAACAAGACACAAACGTCACTATTCTGCGCTGAAGTAGGTGAAAATTGTTAATGAACTCCGTGTCACTGAAGTGAAGCACATCACCACTCACCACTCTTGGCTCCGTCTCCACATCCACACGTTCCTTTCAACGGACGTCGCTGCCGCTGCCCCACAAAACACCACGACCAAAAACCTCGTCCTTCTCCTTCTCAATCTCCTCCTTAAAACAAGTAAATTGTTCATGTTCTGGCTCCGGTACGAGAGGAACTTTAAAATCTCCAAGTGCTCGATGATCACGTCCATGTTTGGACAACTTCCGTAAACACAGAGCACACTCGCTGCGGTTGACGTCGTCGTGTCTCCAGTGCACATGCGGGACACTTTTGGGCCGTTTAACATTCACATTTCCCCCAAAAAGTGAGACTTGTATATATTTTTTCCTTCTCCATTATGCATTTTTTGGCTGGTGTGACTTTTACTCTGGAGCGATTTATAGTTCAAAAAATATGGCAGTCCCTTTTAAAACCTGGTTTAGATCTAGTGACACTCATAAGCCCAAATATGATCTGAGGTGATATTTGGTGTAAAAATACTGAGATACTGATTGATCTATGAACTGCATCTCATTTGGCGTGTGTTTATTTCCAGGACCAGTTCAAGAAGCACGGGGCGTCCTCAGAGACCAGGAGAAGGTCGTGGACGTCCAACCGGGCCCCATCGTCACGGTAACGACCTCTGCCAAATCGTACCGGGCCCACAGTCTGGTGATCACCGCGGGACCCTGGGCCAACCGTGTGCTGGCCCCCACCGGACTGCAGCTCCCCCTAGAGGTACGGGATATTAAAGACAGTTATGCAACTTCGACTTTCTGGAGCTTTCTACCATGTTACAACATTGTTCCCTCATCAAAAACATGTCTGAAGAGGTTCTTAGACGTAATCCATGCATGTCTGAGTAATTTAGTGATCTCTCCTGGGCTCTGTTTTAACCCTACACTACAAATTTCTCTGATCTGGCCAAGATTTCAAAACTTATATCAGGTTATTCATTTTGTTTTCAGATTTATTTTCTACTTACTAGTTCAGAAATGATTGATTCTAGTCTAGAGGTCGTTTATTTTAAGATAACTTGTCAAGTAAAATGATGCATGGACAGATAATTTCACCATTTTCGGATAGATTTAAGTGTTTATATCTGAATTTAAGATTTCGATATAAACAAAACCAAAACGGTACACTACGGCTTGACAAACCTGGGGTGATGTGCAGGAGTTTTATTAGCGGGATGCTGTCTGACTGTGTTGTGGTGTGCTCTGAAGGGTGAGTGGCTTAGTCTAGGGAGCAAGGGTGTGGTTGTGGATGGAGTTTAGGTGTTTAGTCCCACTTTAAGATTTATCTTCACATAAAAGTCCCAAAGTTACGGTTGGTAGGTGGATACAGTGTCGTTTAACCCTCTTTAAAACATTTGCATGTCGTCACAGTGAGGTGCAGGGGCGTAGTGGGCGTGGTACGCAGGGGTTTCGCCGTCCACCCACTTCTCCCAACGTAAGATATTTTAAAAAAATATAACAAATATAAAATAGCTTCAAATTAAATGTCAAATTGGAGCTATTGGCAATGGTAAAACAGGACTAAACCAGCCAGGATTTAATGAGGACTGAACCAGAACTGAACCGGAACTGAGTGTCTGGACGGGCCCAGAGGTGCGCCCACGTAGACTGTCAGGTGACCGCAAGCGAAAGGACCAACGCAGAGCTCCACGCTCCATGGGGCTAAGTGCCGCCATCGCCCATAGACCTGGTTTAGACCTGGTTCAGTCCTGTTTTATTCCTGGTTTAGTCCTGGTTCAGTCCTCTGTTCAGTCTTGGTTTAGTCCTGGTTTAGTCCGTGGTTAAGTCTTGGTTCAGTCCTTGGTTTAGTCCTGGTTCAGCTCTGGTTCAACTCTGGCTCAGTCCTGGTTCAGTCCTGGTTTAGTCCTGGTTTAGTCCTGGTTTAGTCCTGGTTTAGTCCTGGTTCAGTCCTGGTTCAGTCCTGGTTCAGTCCTGGTTTAGTCCTTGTCCTTGGTTCAGTCCTTGGTTCAGTCCTTGGTTCAGTCCTGGTTCAGTCCTGGTTTAGTCCTGGTTTAGTCCTTGGTTTAGTCCTTGGTTCAGTCCTTGGTTCAGTCCTTGGTTCAGTCCTGGTTTAGTCCTGGTTCAGTCCTTGGTTCAGTCCTGGTTCAGTCCTGGTTCAGTCATGATTTAGTCCTGGTTTAGTCCTGGTTCAGTCCTGTCCTGGTTCAGTCCTGGTTTCAGTCCTTGGTTTAGTCCTTGGTCCTGGTTTAGTCCTTGGTTTAGTCCTTGGTTCAGTCCTTGGTTCAGTCCTTGGTTCAGTCCTGGTTCAGTCCTGGTTCAGTCCTGGTTTAGTCCTTGGTTTAGTCCTGGTTTCAGTCCTGGTTCAGTCCTGGTTCAGTCCTGGTTTAGTCCTTGTTTAGTCCTTGTTTCAGTCTTGGTTTCAGTCCTTGGTTCAGTCAGTTCCTGGTTCAGTCCTTGGTTCAGTCCTGGTTTAGTCCTTGGTTTAGTCCTTGGTTTAGTCCTTGGTTTAGTCCTTGGTTTAGTCCTTGGTTCAGTCCTTGGTTCAGTCCTGGTTCAGTCCTGGTTCAGTCCTGGTTCAGTCCTGGTTTAGTCCTTGGTTTAGTCCTGGTTCAGTCCTTGGTTCAGTCCTGGTTTAGTCCTTGGTTCAGTCCTTGGTTCAGTCCTGGTTCAGTCCTGATTTAGTCCTGATTTAGTCCTGGTTTAGACCTGGTTCAGTCCTGGTTTAGACCTGGTTCAGTCCATATACGGCACAAAAATTCGTCATCTTCACACAGTTATTTTGGTGAGAGTAACTTAAAAATAATGTAATAGTCGTGTAATATTTTACATTTTAAACACAGTAATATTGTAATGCAACGAATTACTTTGAAATGAGAGTAATTTGTCATAAAATAAATAACACATTACAGTTTTGACGTAACTTGCCCAACACTGCATGACATCACAATTTGAGAGAAGAACTCAGTCTAAATGTGCAGGATTTGTGCATTTAAACGTGTGAAAGAAACAAAACACAAGTGTTGGTGTGTTTGTGATGAGGAAACAACATTATGACTAGAGCCCGACCGATAGGGATTTTGTTGTGGCCGACATGAAACCGATATAATGAGAGTTGGAGCTGCCGATAGCCGATATAATCGCCGACATATTTAGTGATGTAAAAATTACTTTAAGTCTTGAATTATTTTTAAAAAACTTAGGTTTGGCTCTAGTGGATTTTAAACTGGGTTAATTTAGGCAACATTTGTTGTTATTTTGCCTCTTTACATGATATGTCAGAGGAGTAAAGCAGGTCTAAAGCAGGTCTAAAGCAGGTCTAAAGCAGGTCTAAAGCAGGACTAAACCAGGACTAAACCAGAACTGAACCAGGACTGAAAAAGGACTAAACCAGGACTAAAACAGATCTAAACCATGTGTAAAACAGGACTAAACCAGAACTGAACCAGGACTGAGTGTCGGGACTCGATCTCTATCTTTCTCCTTCTCTCGAGCCCAAGATTAGTCCTGGTTTATTTATTTTATGCTGAATATGTTTATGCATGTTTTTTCTCTCCTCTGCACACGCATATTCTTGAAAGTTTTGTTTTCAGCCGCTGCCGCTGTCAAACTACCACGAGTCTGTACGTGGGGTAAAGAGAAAAAAAGTGAGAGAAAGAGAAAACACGGCTCCCAATCCCATAAAGGATCAGGCTCCCGTCGTTCCTTCAAAGAGTCGACTCTAAGAGCCGCTTTGTTCGCGACCGACCCATCACTACTCGCTAGTAAATAAACAATCACTATTAGCCTTGAGCCGTAAATGCTGCGCGCCGCGGTGATTAATTATATGCGCAAATTTCATCATGGGGCAGTAGCTCAGTTGGTAGAGCATTTGCCCACTGATCTGGAGGTTGGTGGTTTGATTCCAGCTCTTAAGATAAACATCTCAGGTTGATGTTCCAGCTCCCACAGGTGAATGCTGTTGTTGTGTCCTTGGGCAAGACACTTAAGCCACCTTGCCCACAGTGTCTGCGTACACTGGTGTGTGAATGGGTGAGTGGTTCCTTGTTGTAAAGTGCTTTTAGTGCCTTGAAGGTGGAAAAGCGCTATAGAAAAATGTGACCATGACCATTCACACGTCTGTTCACAGCTCATTTACATATCAGTGCAGGTCCAGTAGTAAATATACGGCCAATATAATCACTTTACAATAGACCAATAGAAAACAGCCTGTTTATGTGTGGGAGCTACAGCAGCTAATCGCTAACCTATCAGAACGAACCAAAACTAGCTTCAAAGTCGACATATTTCCAACACTCACCGCTCACACAGGCTCCTCCCACATCACAAGTCTGAACTAATAAATGTTCTTTTAATCCAGACTCAAACCGATTGTCCATAAAAAGAAAATAATCTCAGTGTTGCACATGGATCTGTGTCTGCGGGTGTAAACAAACACATGTGACTCTGGGTGTGTTCAGGGACAGTACGGACACAGACAAATTACACCGCAGATAAATACTGATGCGGAGCCACATATCTGGACATTTATCTGTCTGTAAATTGGATTAAATTAACATAATGTAGAGAGTAGGGGTGGGCGATATATCGATATTTTAAATATATCGAGATATTTTTTAAACTCGATATGAATTCTGACATATCGTATATATCGATATAATGCTTATATTCAATTCTGATTTTGTCTCTTCGCTTGTTTACCTTCTCTCTCGTCGCCTCCGCGTGTCCCCGCCTCCCTTATTTTGTTCGCTCGTGTCTCCTTCACTCCTCACTGTCGCCGTGAACGCTGAAAGTTGGTGCCAGTGAAAAGCTTCTAGCGCCACGAACCTTTTCCACCATTTACAGACAAAACCACCAGCAGCACATCCTCATGTTCCACCGAGTCGTGTCCTTTAGCCCGAAAGAAGCTAAACGAGTTGAGCTGCATGAGAAGTGTTCTGTTTATGCAAATGAGCCATGCGCTTAAGTTTCGTTTCTGTAAAATGTAAACACACGTGCGCAAAACTGCATTAAACACATTATTATCTCAAACGGGCTGATGTGGCTCTAGAGTCGTTATGCTTTATATATTGTAAAGTTTAGCAATGTAAAGTTTATTTATGCAGAAGATTTTAATTAATAATCTGCTGCAGTGTCACTTGTACAATAGTGTTTGGAATCGTTGGGTTTGATCTGCAGTGGATTGTGGGATTAAACCTCAGAGCTCCTCACTGCTGGATAATAACTTGGATCTATTGAAATAAGAAACATCCTGAGCTTCTTCTTCTAAATGAGCTCATGGTTCTGGTTCTGGTCTGGATAACAGAGTTAATGCAAAGATGAGCTTGTGTTGTGTTGTTTTATTTATGAATGAAAAGAAGGAAATATGTATTATTTCTTTTATTTTACAGTTAATTTATTATTTATGTAATTAAGGTTTTTTGTAATCTTAAATGTTCCTATATGAACTGTCGACCTCTTACACTTCAATAAAAAAAAAAAAGACCTTGTGGAATTTGGCAGATTTGTTTTTGCAGTTTTCAGTTTTAGGGGGTTATTTTTTCTTGAACATATATCGAGATATATATCGTATATCGAGATATAGCAAAATATATCGAGATATATTTTTTGATCCATATCGCCCAGCCCTAGTAGAGAGTCTAAGATTTATAACGAGGTATAACATGCCCACGTGAAATATCGGCCCCTATCAGCTTCCAGGTGCTCATATCTGCCGATAATATCGACCAACCGATATATATCGGTCGGGCTCTAATTATGACG